TAGTCTCTCTTTTGGGGGAGAAGCAAGTTACCTGACCTAAGTTTGAATGTAGATTAAAAATATAAAAACATATTTGTTGGAAACGTTTTATTTTTTGAATTGATATAGTAACGCATTATGTTAAAAGTGCGGGCAAATACACAAATAATATGACAACATGCTGCTATAGCCTTTTAATAGAATAATCGTATCCTTTAACGTGGGGAATTTCCTAAGACAGATATTTCTACAAAACATATTTTATTATGCTACAAATTTCCACAGATAAAGAGTTGTTTGTGAAATAAACAGATGAATTCCTTGACATACACCGTCTTTGTTTACGTATTCGTAGGTTATGTTGTTTAGTAGAAATTTGTGTATCCGCCTGAGTAGCTGAAGGCGAGGAATCTCGACTTGCAAGTCAATGGTCGTGGGTTCGAATCTCAAGTGCGGTAGAGTTAATAAAAGCCGATAGCCTTAGATGCTAGTGCTTTTAAGAGTTTAGTCTTAGAATTTATTTCTCTGGCGAAATTAATAATAATAATAGTAATAATAATAGAAATTTGTGAGCTTTGAGAAATTCAGGCCTTGAGTCCAATCGCTTCTCTTCTGTTATTAAGACAAAATTCTCTATTAAAAGAAAGAAAGTCTTTGTGGTTGCCAGTCATAGGGACTCTTTGCTAAATAGTTAGTTGAGAAATTATTTTCTCAACACATGCGCAATTAGATTAGGGACTAAGTTTTAACCGAAAACTCCAGCAATTGATGTTTATTTTTCACAAAGTCCTTCTCTAATTGAAGATGAAGTCCATAATCGAAGCCGCATCAAGATAAATTTGAATACTACTACCTGACTAGTTGGTCTGGCCAGAGCTGGACGATTATTTTATAACCATAATGTAGCAGCTATAACCTGGACTATGACGAAAGTCGGTTATCTATAACATCAATTTTATTTGATATAAGAATCGAATCTATCAAGTGAGTGCTCGTGGATTCAAATCTCATTGCTGTAGAGCTATAGTAAATCGATGAACGCATAATAGCGTCGTTGCGATTCGGTCTTTATATAATTTGCCGTTTCGGCAACCTGTCATGTTTCCTGGTGTTATTTCTTCTTTAATAAAAAAACCGTATTTTAACCTTTAAGTTGCGGTTATGACCTTAACGGTAATCAACCATTATCTAAATTGTAATACTATTTTGCATATGTAAGTAGGCACGGAGTGTAACCGATGCTTTTTCATTACATCAGCAACAAGATCAACATCGACATTAATAACAACTTGTAGGTAAAATGTTGCAGTTTAGAGTTACACTTTATAACTGTCATATTGGTTTCGTCATCATGAAATGAAATATATCGGCTGCTCAGCAGTACACACACGCATGCATGCAGATGAACTTTAGGACTAGGCAAACACAAGCAAATAAACACACACAAAAACGCACACAACGACGAATACACGACGAAAGAATACACTTCATCAACACGATCAACATATCTGTGACTATTTAGTTTGAACATTTGAAAAATAGTCTCTCTCTCTCTCTCTCTCTCTCTTCTCGATGTTTTTTCTCTCGCTTTCTCATTTAGTTGGCTCTATATAAAAGAGATTTGTTTAAACTGATAAAAAATGTTTGTTGTCAAAGTGCATGTCTTTAAGTTGTCAACATGTTGTTGTTATTGTTGCTGTTGCAGATGCCAATGCTATTGTTTATTGACAAGTACTTAGCTTAATAATGATGACGATCATTAACATCGTGATCATCATCATTATTATCATCAATCGCGGCGTTGGGCGTCTTATATATGTTTACAAATGACATATAGATTTTTATTTCAACTATGCAAGAACTAGAATGATGATGAACTTACAACAACAACAACAACAACAACAACAACATCAATAATAATTGCAAAGATCTTTCAAACAAGTACAAGCACTTTCAATAGATCTTGAGTTCCTTCTATATGTTTGTATATGCACTCTTTTCTCTGCAGTCAATCTCTATCCGTCTATAGTAATAGTAAAGAAAACCCTTTGATCATTTGTTGGAACAACATGTCATGAATGCGGTAATGTCATGTTTTGTCTGTTTCTCTCTTTGCAAAACTTTGCTTTAAAACTCTTAACTGAAGTTTTGAGTAACTAGAGTTGGCTGGTGATTTTCTATTGAAACTGTTAATTGTGGTTTAACAAGACAATATCAGATTTCATCGTAATAACGTGGACTATTTTTTTTTTTTTTATGTCGCTTTTGTGTTCTGTTATTGGGGTTTTTTTTTTCTTCTTGTAACTTTGTTGTCGTTATTCCTAAATCAGTGTTTGTGTTTGTTTGCCTTGATTACCATTAATGTGATAAGGATGTAAATTTAAAGAGAAATTATTTTTAGATAAATACAGGCAAACATATAATTTATACATCATTTGCAAGAAGTGAAACTCTTCGCAATAAATACACAAAAAAAGAAATTTCAATGCACTGTACATTAATTTCGTCTCCTTTCCGTCCATTAAGCGTAACGGATACATATGAATGCAGTTGCGAATATCGTTTTTGTTAGTATTTTCCACATATTTTTTGGGAGAGAGAAAAGGTGATTAAAAACACATACAAATAGGAAAAAACAGACAGAGAGATTCATAAAATTTCCTTCTTGAAAATTCAGTTTTCTTGTATGAACTTCTTCTCGAAAATGTTCAGAGTAAGAGAATCTAGTTACAAAACGCCCTTTGCGATTAAGACGATTTATATAACTATTTTTCAAAAAGGAAGCGTTACTTGCGAAATGATCGAAAAGGAAATCCGATCCGTATCATTTTTAATAGCGTTTGTCCTTAGGTCAAGACATGTCAGTGTATTAAATTTAATCGAAATGCATAACAAATTGCCGTCAGTAGGTTAATCATAAGACAGCAAGACGGATGGATGGAGAGACAGATCGGCATACTAAAAGGGCTTTCTCCGGACCTTCGTTGTGTTGCATCCACACAATTTTAATATGTCTTCGTACTTCAGGCGATGGTGGCACTGTTTATCTGTATGTTATAAAAAATTTCAAAGACCACAGGCTACTACAGATTTTGGGTTTGTCTTAAATGACCCTCGTTTCGCAGCTAATGTAGGATGCAACAAACAAGTGAGAATATTGTAGACAGGTAAGGCCGATCTTTAGGTATCCCACATCACTTCACTTATGTACTGTGATGCATTTATTTTCGTGATAGTATACCAAAAATTATACATTATTTTTATGTAAAGACATACTTTCCATGAAAGCGCTCATCTTCACAGAGAATCTATACGTTAACTGACGTGGCCTAAATTTACCAAAGATTTTGTCATTTTTCATTTGTTTCTGTTAAAAAAAACTGAAAATAAAATTTTGATAGTTTACAGAGCTTGACTTTTCGTAAGAGGCCCCCAATGTAGCGGAGTCTAAAAAAATAAACCTTTGTGATCCATATTTCCTACTATACACTACATCTTTTTGCCAAAAGGCTTACCTTTCACGATAACCCTTTTATGAAGTGGAGTCCAAAAAATATATCCACGTGATTCAAAGTAGACCTGCTTGATCTAAATTTGATGCAATTAAGCGTTATATGAAACTACTTCTACAAAGCACTTTTCGTCGTACGATAGCAAAAAAAGGTAAAAGTTGAAGGTACCCTTTATTACAAGTAGTATATTATATGCCAAGTGATACTTTTTTTATTAGAAGGATTCATTAGATAACGACAAATGTTTAATGACTCTATCATGCCGTATAATGTACCTTAATGCGCTGACCTTCGCAACTATCGAATGCTATCGAAAAGTAA